TTTACTGAACTCATTAACCTCTGATTACTGGAATCCAAATAACCGTTCCAGGCTTTTCGAGCAGCTAAGAGGCTTTTATCATCACACACTTCGGATCCATCTTGATGCCTACACTTTTCACCTTTTTCTTTCTTTTCTACACTTAGAAAAGCCATCTTATCTGTTACACCAACCGGCTTCTTACTAGGATACGCATCAAGAGGTTTTACGTCGTTACGGTCACATACTCGTCCTTCATCAGCGTATGCTTTCGTGATATAATTGACAACTCTCTTATCTTCCGAGCGTGCGTTAGATAGAAACGAAGAATCCTCATGTCTCGCACGCAGACCACTAGTAGCTTCCGTATTATGTTCTGTTTTAGCCCGATAAGCTAATCTTCCGAACCTACTACTAGCTATCTTAGCGCGAGACATAATAAATTCCGTCAACTCATCGAAATTAGGCTCTCTCTCCTCTTCGTCCCACTTGATTCCCAGCTCTGCCCACTGGGCTTGCATTCGACGAGGTAAGAGCCTGACTATTCGTTCTAAAGTAACCAAGGAATTAAGTTCCGTTGTGCAATTTAGCTGTTCTAAGGTTAAAGCAGCATTCTGCATTTTAATAGCCAAATTCGTCAATAATTCAGGATCATTAAAATCTGCGTTCCCAGTTCTAAATAAGTCCTCTAAGGTTTCCCGGGCTATTACATGCGACTGTCCAAAGAGCTGTTTTAAGATGGCCTTAGCTCTCTTATATCCTGCTTGTGGATCCATTATAATACAACCTTCAATCGCATTTTTTGCCCTTCCTTTACAATAGTGAATTAAATACAATGAACGCACTTGGTCATCTTTTATTCTGGGTTCTATAAACGTTTCTATTTGACGCATGAATCTAAAATAGTCGCGAGACTTTCCATCAAAAAAATGAAAGTTCAACCTTAGGTAGTTCTAAGCCTACTATCGGTGTCCTAAGCATCTGATCCGTCTCTGGTACCTTAGAACTCTCACTTAATCCTGGTTCCTTAATGCCTGCCAAAGGTGACTTACAATAATAAGTATCAGACATAACATCAGTGTTATCGGAGTGGTTACCCATTAAAAAAGTATCAATAACGACTTGCTTAGCGTTTCGGGATCCGTCAAGCTCTTCCACCCTCCTCGTGTTTGATTTCTTGCGACTTGACATTATAAGTGAAGTTCAACGGAAGATAAATAACAAATACAAAATATAGGAATTCCACAGATAAGTTCAATAAGAGATGTCCAAAATCAAAAATTCGTCATCCAAGATACAATTCGAATACGAAAATACGATAAATAATCCAAAATTCTTCTTTCAAGAAAGTTTAGTGTGATAAACGATTAAATTTCCAAATGTTTCTTTATAATTCTTAATAATCCAACTGTAATTGGTCTTCTAATCAAAGGTAATAGATAATTCCAGAATATAAATGTTCTTAGGAATAATCCCAGACTGTAAATGAATTTCTACAGTGGCCGTTCCAATGGGTTCCAATAAGTGCACTCCTGTACTCGATTCCCCCAGTCCCAGGTCCAAACAAATCAAAAAAGGACAAAAATTCTTGGAGAAAGCGGTTTTATTTAATATAGACATGGAAATACAAAGCATTACCTGGAATTAATGCTCCTTCCAGGATACAATTACTCCGAAGAGTATCAGAAACAACGATAGATAAGTGACGCTAAGTCCAGCGGCCACTGCATCAATCCAAATATGGCTGTAGCCATAGTAAAGGTCAAATTTAAACAACATATATACAATCAGAAACAAACACAAAAACTTCAATATAAGTACAAAATATAGAAAGAATAACAATATACAATGATAAAATCTCAAATTGGAATCAAATAAAACAGCGAAATGTCAACAGAAAAAGTCCGTCATGTCATAACAAAAATACATAAACATGGAGGGATTTTCCAATAAACAAAACATTCAAAAAGGATTCTACAAAGGATGCTAAAGTTTAGGTCCAAACTTGCACTCTACAGTCCAGATGCACGTTTGCCCGTCAAGGCATCAAATCCGATATGGCTGTAGCCATAATTAAGTATCAGTTTAAACAACATAATACAGTTCAGTAGAAAAGTAAAAAAAAGAAACTATAACAAAATACAAATATTAACATCCCAAAATGGGATTAAATAGACCACTAAAATGTAGAATGGAAATGTCAATAAGAACATATTACAAATATATACATAGAGGGATTTTCCCAAAACAAAGCCTTCACAATGGATTCTACAGGTGATATGAGACTAACTGGACAAATTATGGCTTCAACAATCCTTAACATGTCTTAGAGGTACAAGCGAATCACTTAAAAATCATTTCATGGAAAATGTACGGTCTACAACTATTCATATGTAACACATGATATTTTCACATAAGTTCTTTGTCCAGAAGTTGCGGTAGCACGGTAATTAACGTGATCACTTTGAACGGGAAGACGCGAAATTAAAGCCTCCATTAGGATAATTCAATGATGTAGAATCCTTTTCGGAGGGCCTTGTTTGGGGAAATCCCTATGTGTATACATTTGTAATATGTTCTTATTGACCTTTTTGTTCTACATTTTGGTGGTCTGTTTAATCCCATTTTGGGATGTTAATATTTGTATTTTGTTATAGTTTTTATTTTTTGTCCTTTTTTGAGTTTCTATGTTTCTTTCCGAATTGCATTATATCCTTTAAGTTGATACCTAATTATTGCTACGTCCATATCGGATTTGATCCTCTGGCGGTTGGTACGCTCACCTGACTGGAAGGGTGCAATTTGGATCGGAACTGGGAGCCACTTCCAGAATTGGAAACACTTTGTGTTATTATCGAAGGAGTAGCTGTTATAATACTTTCCAGGAAATGATACATATTTGTACTTATGATTAATAATGTTGTGGATTTTCTACTCTTGCAGATCACTCCGGCTCAAAAAGTGTAGGTTCATACGCGTTCACCCAGTCAAGGACCAAAAACACGATAATTCTGGGAGAAAACGGTTCAATTTTATTGAATAAGGGAAATACAGACAATTACCAAAACGATATTACTTACACCTTTGAGCTTCCAATTACCACAATGGGTTCCGTTTCTGGAATAACAAGTGCTTCCTGTTCGTTACTACTAGAGTATCAAATCCAAATATGGCTGTAGCCATATTAAAAATCAAATTTAAACAACATATGTACAGACCAGAAGGAAGCATAAAAACTTCAATATAAGTACAAGATATAGAACTAATAGCAATATACAATGATAAAATCTCAAAATGGAAACAGATAAAGTATCAAAATATCAAACAGAAAGAGTCAGACATATCATTACACAACTATATATACATGGAGGGATTTTCCAAAAACAAAACATTCAAAATAGATACTACAAATAATAGAACCGTCATTTACCCAGATCAGTTGCTTTTTGAAATTCAACCTGGCAAGGCGCGTATCTAAACTTCCTGAACAGTTATTCAAAAAATCCAAACCTCGGTTTGGATTTTATAAATTATGTGATAATTGAACTCACCAAATGTCTTATACGATACATTACTTTGCCACAAAGACTTCCGCCGTGAGTGACTCCACTGTCCAAGAGATGTTAGGTCGGGCAAGTATAGTCTATTCGAATTCTATGGCTTCATTCAGAAAATAAGTCAGTTAGGCGGCTGCATCATAAAGGATAATCTTAGTTGATGGGGATCGTCACAAATATATGAGCTCATATAAATTGTAATCTAATGTTCACCAAAACTATATCGAGTTAAAAAAACGGTAGAATTAGTTTCAGAGGAGTTCCTCAGTTCAAGAGCATATCCTTCGCCTCCCAACTATAGAAGTCTTTAGAATGCCTCTGGTACGGCCCATGCAAGGTCATTAGGAGTGACCGTGCACCCAGCAAAAGGCTGTATTTTTCCAATAACTGCAAGAATTGTTAAATACTAAATGAATTTACTCCAGAATTAAATGAGACGGGATGTAGTGACAAATTCGTTCGACAACCCAGAATAGGAAAGGACTCCCCTTAAGACTATGATCACCACTACGGAGGTTACGAGCACTTCACAAAGAACAAGGGTTGTCCCATAGTAAATAATGTATTTGCCGGCGATTTCGTGGCATCGAAATAATACCGAAATCGAACCAGAAAAGTGAGGCGAAGTTACAAAAATGGTGGAGCAAAAATGACAGCAACACAAACAGAAAGTTTGCGCATTAAATTTTATAAACAAAAACTAAATTTATTCGATCACAGGTACAATTGGTCATAGTAATATATGTTTACATTAAACCGATCGTGTTCTCTTCGTCAACGTGGATTTACTACTAAACCTTTAAGGGAAAACACTTAGCTCACATCAATTAAGCCGGTATTGTTGCATCCATACGTACAAGGGGTAATCAGGATATGTCTCCCAGCTGAAGATTTCTGATGAAATAAAAGATACAGTGGATATTTCAGCTTTTCTAGAAAGCTTCAGTAGAATAAAATGCTTGGTAGAAAGATTGAAAAATACATTCGTTGAGAAAATCTTTGGACAGTTGACTTAGAAGAATCAAACATACACCTCTCGGAGTTAAAAAGGGAATAATACAACACAAAATCATAAATTTTACTCGTTCAAATAGTTTCCTTTCACATTTCAGTCCTAATCATATACACCAAAGCACCATTAATGACTAGGACATATAAGAACATAAGTGAAATTTCAAGGTAATATTTCGTGGTCATTGGTTGCACTGCGGTGCTCACTCCTGGCATTAACAGTCAAGTCACCTTCTTTGCAAAGATGATTTTACATTTTCTCTGGTTTTATCGGTGGCGAGGTAGACTACTCTAAAAAATTTTCGAAGCACACATTAACAGCTACCCATTTTGTCATTTTAAGATCTTGAAGTATAAAACAAAGAACTGAGAAACTGTGCAAGAAGAGACTTCAAGTAACCAATTATCATCTGTTTTTGCACAATAAAGTTAAAAAGCTTACTTTAGTAATATTCGAAGTATTGGATTTTAGACAAAGCTGTAGTCTCGTTCAAATTTGTACGTAACTGTAAGCTTGTTGCTGCTGCTACTTTCATCGGACATATTTGGCTTCAATTATTCATATCCTTAATATTTTACATTGTCTTTCACATAGAATAAATTCACAGTCATCTCAATTTTTGGCGAGTAGCAGTCATATTACTCTTCGGCAATCAGACTCAATGTGTAGCAGTAGAATTGTAGTCCCTGGTGACATTATATCCCCCTTAGATGTCACTAAAAAAAGTGGGCCATCAACATACTGTTGCTCAGGAAATATATTGTCAAGTGCCTTTGGATATGTCAAAGAAGAATCACATGCGGACGGATCAGTATGTTTATTAATTCGTGACTAATATTAGAAAACATTTTCGGTTTCACCGTTAAAAGCTGCTGGCGTAGTTCCTTATACTGGTTCAATTGTTTTGGCCAAAGTAAGTTCATATAACGTGTGCCTAACGAGCTTATTAATTATGATGCATTTTAAAACATCCAGCTCAGTCAATACAATATGTACATTTATCTCCAAGTCCGTTAAGTAGACTAGTATATGTATTTCTAGGTAAAGATACTCTCTCCAGCTCTTCTGGATTTATATTCGTGAGTCACCCAGTAGTTTCTGTTCTTTTAGAGTGGAAACTGGTGTCCTCACCTATCTGAATCTGTTCAGTGTTGTTTTGTATGTCTAAACATCCACAGCAGCTTAACGTCAAAACGCTGATCATGATATCTTAAAACGTTTAATAAGTAGTCGAGTTGCGTTAAACCAATTTTCCACATTAGACACATCAATATATTTTTTAAAAGTATGTGGTAAAGTTAAATCAATTAAGCTGAGGTTGAAAAGCAAAATAATGGTATTGAGTATTCGATCACAGGTGCCTGTATTGTTATTTTTCATAAGTGATATACGGTTAGCTTCTTGCACAGTGTTACCTCCACTAACATCTGCTCATACATACAAAACCTCACTAATTCCTGAAATTCATAATTTGGTATAGTCACGGGTTCATATCAACTTCATTCTTTGAACCATTTTAATACAATAACTCAGCTGCTCGACCTGCTGTTACAGGTTTGAACTTCACTAAACTTCATTCTACAAGGCTATATCACTAAATCACAAGGTCTCAAAACCGACTGACTAAATTTGTACTTTGTCACGGAGTTACATAAAATCGGATTTATTTAAATAAGAAGCTCCACCAGTTGATCGGTCTATCGAATTAATGAGCTGCAAATAGATTAAAAATTATTTTTGCCGAATATTCTACTATTTCATACGAATACTACAGTCTTTATTCTCCTGGTTGCCAAATGATTAAATAGGTTGTGTATCATTTTATGTAATGCATATTCCCATCCCGACATATCTACGATATCAACAGTTAGTTCTTCCCTTGATGATTTAAATTCTTTGTCACAAAAACGATGAAATCCTAGATAATTATTTATTTTACCCTTTACAGAAACATTTCTTGAAATTCCCCAACATTTTTAATTAAGTTTAACTTTCTCTCCATAGGTTTCTAGTATTACACGACGATTTATTCGCTGTGATATCGTCTCAATTGGAGAAGCTTACCTTGCCGGACCATTCAAAGGTCTCATTAGACGTGAGGATATTCGTGCCACACAGCGCGATCAAGCGGAACCGGGCTGCTGCTTTAGACCAGGAGATATTGTACGAGCTCGTGTTATCAATCTCTTGGGTCCTGGAGCGTGTACAAACAGTGCTTCATTTATGTCTAGCACTTCATCACAGACACTATCCACTTTGTTAACTACACAGGCTATATCTTGTTCAGTGGCGGCCACCAACGATGCAAATATAAGTGGTTCCAACTCCATTTGTCTTCTATCTACTGCAGAGCCTGATTTAGGCGTAGTTCTTGGTCTTGGAAGGTCTCCTGAAAACAGCTTCCTCGAACTTTTTGGCAGCACAAGCGGTTCTCCCCTTGTTCCTGTTGGATGGACGGAAATGCTATGTCCTCATACACTTACTCGGTACCCTCGAAAAGTTGCCCGTGTGCCAGATGAACTTATTACTCAGTTGATTTGTGCTCAGCTCGAATAAATTGTTGTATATAGAATTTGTTCTGCCTACATGAATAATTTTGCTTGGTAGTTTTTAAATTATATGGTTATATTACAGCTCTAAAACGTTTAGAAAAATTTACTTTTCTCCTTATCAAAAAGATGCTACAAATATTTGAGTCGTGGATGCGCACTGCTGAGGAGTCCCATACCAGGACGAAACGGCCGTCCAGTGCTTCCAGGTTTCTAATGGTGGTCTAACATTGATTGATTCATGTGTGTAACTTAACAATCTTCACAACCCCGTAATGCTATCAATTTATTTCATACTTTTGCCTGAGGTAGATAGTTCTTTCCGTTTTATTAAACATTGGCAATTTCAACTAATGCAACCCAGTGTTTTGTCAATTGCTGGAAAACCAGGTAAACTTGCTAGGATATTTAAAAAGGTATAGTTTACTGGTTTTTTATCGTGGCGATTATTATCCAGCTTCATTTTACTGTCGATCATCAAACAAATCATCCAATCTAATCATGAACAGACACTACATTGTAAAACCAGTTTAAAGTGCTATATCAATCAATAGCAACGCAGAACTTCGTAAGCACGTACATCAGCTCATGTTTCCATACCACATTAGCACACAGATGTAATCGTCAATTCAAATCCCATAGTAGTAGAGGTAGTAAAGGTATTAGCAGTAATCAGAGAGATTAAGGTTAGATGATGTTCAAAAAGTGAAACTTTAAAAAAAAATATAAAGGTGATGAGGAACTCCGAAGTTTAGGATTTGAGAGAACACAAAGAATGAATGCACCTGCGCCATTGCAAACGATTCAGAGCCATGTCGTTCAAGGTCTCTAACCACTGATTAGTTTCGTCTCGAGAACCCCAACCAGGTAGCCGACACCTATCAACATGACTCAGTCCACTTGTCAGTGACTTCATGGATTTGTGCCATATTTTGGATTGGCCGCCCCTAACTTTCTTCCAACCTACTCCTACACCGCAAAATATAGCTCGACGAGGCAGTCGGTGGTTATGCATACGTAACACATGTTCCAACCACCCCAACTGATGAAGTTTCAATACTTCGTCTATTGACCTGCCATCCTTACATGGTACCGGTTTCCTAACGACCGCATTGCTTACTCAGTTGTCCCAGGATATTCGAGCAATGCTTCGGAGACATCTATGATCGAAGAAAAGCAACCTACGACTATCTTCTACTCTGACTGGCTTATTTCGCAGCCATAAAATAGGACGGAAAGAACTGCTGCGTAGTACACTCGTCCTTTGGTTAGCAGACGGATATCTCGCCTATGCCATAAGTGATGCAAGTTGGTAGAAGCCAATAGAGCCTACTGTATCCATGCTGAGATTTCATCAGTCACCAGGCCATCAGCACTGATGAGACTCCCGAGATAAGTGAAGCGGTCTACACACTCGACTGCTTCACTCTTTATCAGTAGTTCAGGTGCCGATGCAAGCCGATATTGAAACAACATTTTGCATTTCCATGGGGAGAATCGCATCCCAAACATGCTTGTATCGTTGCTTAGGGGAGTCAGGAGACACTGCATTTTGTCAGCGTCTTCACAAAGTAGAACTATGTTGTCGGCATATTCGAAGTCAACAAACAAATCTTCTGGTAGCAGTTAAACTACTGAGAATTCAGACGAAGATAATTTTAAAACTAGGAGCACGTCTAGGACAAAATGAAACAAGAATGGGGAGAGTGGACATCCCTGACGGACAGTACTTGAAGTAAAGAATTCCGATGTCAGTTCGCCATAAATTCTCAGTCGACCAGTGGTGTTAGAGTAGAGAGCCTGGATACGGTTAATGTACTTCTCTGGCACACTTTTCAATGAGAGGTACTGCCACAGAACCTCACGATTAACAGGTTTGAAACCAGCCTGGCTTTTTGAGTCTGCCCTTCATGAGCTCTAGTTAGGCATCTAAGTATTATCGTGTCTAACTTTTTAGACACTATGTTAGTCGAACTGATTCCGTTTTGATTGTCGCAATAGGGGACTGTCTTGGAGACTGAGACGATCAATGATTGGGACCAGCCGGATGAGATTACGTCCAGTTCCCAAATTCTACCTCAGATCTCAGTCAATTTAACTGCTAATACTGGACCACCGTCCTTTAAATTCTCAGGAGTAAATCTATCAGGTCCTGCTGTTCTCCCTTGCTTCAGATATCCTATCGCTTTCTGAACTTCATAGAGAGTCGGACAACTGATATCGATTGGCCATTCAGCATGACTGGAGGTCGTGGGCAGCCGAAATTTTGCATGAGGGCCAATTGAACTGATCCCTAAAGTGTTCTGCCCATCGAGCCAATCTCCTGGATTGAGAATGAATAATAAGACTATCCTTTTCCGAGATAGTTTCACTCACATTTTGGTTCCTAATACCAGTTTCCTTGATGAGCCTGAATAATTGCCTACTGTTGCCTTTTCCATCTCCCTTGCTTTCGCTACCCACCACGGTTCACGATCATTGCATAGTCTTTTTATCAGCTTGCGGCTAAGCTAACTCCGCTTCTCAGAGCCAGGCGGGATGAGCTTTCGAGCATCCGTCAGTTCGGTAGATGCTATTGAAATCCATGGCTTCTCCCTAACCTAATGGTTCACTTTACTAGCAGATATCACTGCTGTTTCCACAGCTTTTTGATATCATTCCGAGCTGTCTCAGGGTGGGCATCACACACCACATGGCTGTCTAACTTTTCCTAGTTGTTCGTGAAATATATTAGCTTTATTGTCATTAAGTAGAGCTGCGAGAGGTTTCCTCGTGATATTTTTCTTGCATTCAGTGAGACCCAAAAAATATGCCCTCGCACCAGAGCATGATCTGAATCTAAACAAGTGCTCCAGAATGAACAGCAGTCTTCTATCGAGACTCTCCTTCAGTCGCTGTCAGCAATGTGATCTAGTTAGGTCCATCAATAAGACGACTTTGGGAGTCGCAAGGTCAAAAGATGTTTTTCCTTATGCTTAAGGTTAGTGTTTGCTAGAAATAGGCGGTTATCTGAGCACAGTTGCAACAGACGGTCGTCATCGTCTGTTCTATTAGCCGCGACACCATAAGATCCACCTAGGTGTCTTTCATTTTCACTTAGTCTACCTACTTGAGCATTGAAGTCGCCAGCCACCATTGCTATATCAGAGCTCCAAACGTTTTGGAGGAGGTCCGAAATCTTTCTGTAAAACTCATCTTTTATGTCGTCTGAGCCGCAGTCAGTGGGAGCGTTGGCAGATACGACGAAGATAACGGCGAGTGTCCCTATCTGTACGAGTCCTTACTGTCCCGATCAGTCGCACAGCGCACAAGCGTCTATCTACTAGGAGAGTTAGTTTCTGCTCTAGGACTCAATGCTATACCTATGTTAACGAGACCCCGGTAAGCAGCATCAGGGCTTCCAGATACACGAGTAAATCAGGCTGCTTCTTTATTTTGACAAGATGAAATCAAATTAATGATTTTACTAGGATCCTGTATGCGCGTTTCCGAGACGCAGCATACATCGATTGAGCGAGATTCTAAAGTCCTTGCTAATGAAGCTGGTTTCACTATCAGTTTCCAAATGTTTCCACACGCCCAGACATTTGATTTTTCATTCGTTAGACTATTTACCTCTTTGAATCAATTTAATTTAATCTTCGTATATCTTTCCTTCAATTTTCCGAACATTTACAAACTCTTGTCAGTCCATCTCTCCCACTTTCTCATCTAGACCGTACGATGTACATGAAATTTTTGGAATTTCGGTCGTTATATTAACCTGGGTTTCTGATTGTATATTTAAGTTAGTCACAAAATTTTTTCTTTGAAAGTCAATTAACTTGTTGATAAAGTCATGATATATACGAGCTAGTTGGTTTTTAAATCGTGTTTACAGACTGGAGTTCGGACCACAGAACTAGCTGCAATCCTCTGTGCTACATTTGAAAATGTCCAGGGGACTGTGATCGCCTATCAGTATCCACACAATTATGTTTCCCCGGTATGTTCTTCTCTTATATATATGTTATCCATCTATTGAAAATTTTCAAATTACGAAGTAGGCTCAAACGGTTTTTCATCTAAACTAATCGGTTTAGTGAAGACATAGATTATTAACTGGTAATGTCTCACTAGGAAACTTGCTTTTAAATAGCCTTTTAACCTCGTAACAAAACATTAATCTCATCATACTGTAAAAAAGATTATCGTCAAGGTGTTTATTTATTTATAGTACAAAAAGCTTGATAAAATAAGGTACCCAAAATGCTTCACCCATCGCTAAAAAAATACTATAAAAAAAAGAAATCGTAAAATAATAAGAATTATATATTTCGAAGAATATAACTCATAAAACAACTATTATTACTTTCTGTGGAAAATGTAGTAAAAAATTACACAAGTATACCTAATGGTTTTTGTTGAGATGTATGATTCCGTCGTATGTCGCCAAGTTGCATGATCTTTGGTACACCATCCGTAGAGTTGTAATGAATAGATGTTTGGTAACTTAACAACACACCTCTTCGTGATTCCACGGCACTCTCATTGAGTAGTGCTGAGTATAGAAGCTGTTTAGTTGATGTCCGTAGAACACAATTACGCCACCGTAGACGGTGATTAATGATTTTAACCCCTTTCGAATTTCGATCTCCACTCTACCTGAACATAAGTTACTTAACAACAACATTGCCTACACCATATTGAAACTGAATATAGACAATTCTATGTAGACGTCAGAAATATTCTTAAGACTCCTAACTCCAAGGCAAACCAAAAGCGTTCTGTTCTGTACAATATGAAAATAGGACAACAGATAGTATCACTAACTTATTAATAACCTAATTAATGGAATTTATTTCTTTATAGTATTTTCCATCTATTGGTAACGTATAGTAATACAGAAAAGTTAAGTTATGCGGAGCGATATATCTCGTATTCAAAAATCCTCACGTATTGGACTTCTGATGGGAATATTACTACCACTTTGTTATTGTTTCTAAGTTAAGATAACTCTTTTACGAAACTGGTGCGTAAGGATCATTACAACTTCAATAATAAACGAACTTTACTGCTTACTATAGTGTTAATGTATTGAATTTTTTTATTAGCACCTTAGAAAGGAAACCCACATCTAACCGTATTAAAGCCACATATAAATAAGGGTCTTCCACAATCTAGATCGATTTTCGTCTCAGCTTTAAGTTGTTTCAGTGTTTTATTTACTGATGTACCTATCTCATTTATTGGATATACCTCTTGTCATAATGTTGAATGGTTGGTTTATTACAATAAATAATCTGTCTATCAATGTTCATAGGGGTTGACTTTTAAAACACTTTCATTTTCACATTTGGTTTTTCTAGACCCAGTTTAAGGAGATTGGAAACGCTGTCATCCCACGAGCTGAATTGGCTTTCCGGTTAGTAACGATTGAGGCTTTCAGACACTATGTAATTGGTTGCCTACAGCGCATCGAAGGTGTTCAATACAAGAGAAATACATTGCAGTTCAATATATGTCTCGTGATTAAGCCAAAAGCGACTAATAGTCGGGATGATATTTCACATTGGCAGTTCTGGGACGATCATTCAGCTGGTGGTTTGAGACCTAATGTTCAAGCAGCGTACGAGGCGTTAACACTAAAGATTAATCGATATTTTTATGCCTTAGAAGAACAATGTGGGTTTCTGTCTCGTTCATTAGGACATCATGAAGGTGTAGACAAATGTGTAAAATTGCTCTGCCTTGAATCAATTTACAAACAGTTACATGAATCCGGAATGTGTATTCTTTCTTTTCCAAACAGTGGATCTTTATACTTACGGGTATGTTATATTAGTCTTATCAGTATCTAAAAAATTATTTCTCCAATATTTCGCATGTAACTAAAAATCTCAATATCAAAATTTGTTTTGTTGGAACGGCTGAAGCATAAAAACGGGACGAGTAACCATGACAACAATACACCACTATCATTCCTGTGTCTTTTCAGTCAACAGAAGCCAAGCTAATCTATCGTTCGGAAACAGCACTAACTATCTTACTAACTTTACCTAGACCTCAGTGATATTTACATGATGTAGAGTTTACTGCAATTTAGTTGAAACCGGATAATTTCCAATAACTTTGGTACATTATTTACATACTGATATCAATTGCATTCAGACAATTGGCACTCTATCGGTTTTTGGTGATTTGACCACAGTAATTAACTAAGATGTAGCAATTTACAGAAAGTCGGATGATAAACCTATGGTTGGCGTTTATAGTTTATGGATATTGTTTGACTCTTCTTCATTATTAAATCTTCAAAAGGTAACTGTGATAGTTAAACTAGTTTAAGATGATTTTATGTTTAGTTATTTGCAAAGCTTGTATTCAAAATATTTTCTACTTCATTCACTTAACTATTTTAGATTTCTTTACTCAGTTCCAATTTTTTTCCTTACTAGTTTAGTCCTAGACAGGATCATGGATCATATAGTAATTTGTCATTCGATATGTTTGAACTGGTCTCCGAGGAAATTCTAAAAGATGATAATGTTGATAATAATGATTGTGGATTAGAATTCGGTCGAAAGATTCGACAATTCAATCTTCATCATAATAATCAAGTCGTTTTTCCTAATTTCAATCCTCAAAGTGAATCAGAAATTACTGATAATTGTGTATTCGTTTTAATCGCTTCTCCAACCTATCATCGTCAATCTAAAATGGGTTACAATTTGAATGGTGGATGGAGACCGTTAGACGCTGTTGCTCAACGTGTTCTACCGTATATTAATGGTAGACGACGTTTAATTGAATTGGCTCAGTTAGCTCAACTAGACGTAGCCATAGCTCGTCTATGTTTAATTGAGCTTGCTCGGATAGGATTAGTTCGTGCTTTACCATTTCCTACATTTATAATGCAACTTCTTCAAGCTGATAAGTTTTCCAATTCAACACTTATTCCTGGATGGTTGGGTTTACCACGACTGGTCAATCTGCTTACAGACCCTTCTCTTAGTAAGATGTGCTTGTCGACTGTGGTAAGCATTTGACTTGCTTTTTTCCTAGACTTTTGATTGCATCACTAGTTAAAATTGATTGTTGGGTACTAGTACTAAATGTAGAGTAATTCTCCTAAATATATATACTTTGGTTATCCATCATAAGAACAACGGTGACCGATGAAAAAACGAAAGCGTATACTTTTTGCTGCAGAAGCTTAGTTTTACTGGAATTTGTACTAATAATTTTCATGACCCATCATTTTTGAAATCTCTTTATTTTAAACTTGCTAGATATCTAAGAAACTTACTATGACTGCAACTATTCGTTTTATTTTGGTTAATTAATATAGCCTTGTCATTCAACGCTTAGTAACTATTATCATTAGTTTTTTTTGCTTTTGAAATCATCGTATTTGCAGTCTATGTCTAAATGTCTATATATTTTCTGCCAAAAGCTTAGTATGCAGCCTAATAGCGAACCTTTTCATGTTATATAACTATTAGACTTCATGGTGATTCTGTTGCAGCTTCCAGTCGAATGGTTGAATTAGGCTCAAAATCTGGAAATCAAAATGAAGGAGATATTTACAAACTTGCATTGGTTAGGTTTCTCCGATGCTTATCGAGGTAATATACAATCAGAGTAAAAATCCCTCCTTAAATGGTCATACGAGAAACCATTTAGAATAAATGTGATAGGCTACGTAACAGATAACAGCTCGACGCGAAAGCACAATATCAGAAAGCATTCAAAACAAGGGACTTAACACACAGATATTGAAGACCGTTACAGCCTAATAAAATTTTGATGAACGAATAAAGATTAGAACTAGTTATTACAAATTCTAAGTTTCAACCTCAATAAAAAATAAATTGAACATTAAGTTTATGTGAACATGTATTAATACCAAAAGACAAAGGTTAGATCTCACCTCGTCAACTGCTCAAAATGATTGGAAATGCAGTTAGTTACTAAATATTAATAAGTAGTATAGTGTAATATGTAAAAGGTAATCGATTTTGGAGGAAAAGATTAGAGGAGCGAACAGAACTAATACATGGTTTTGAGGAGGAGAATGAGAAAATTTCGTAGGGACTTAATCATCTACGCTCACAAGAAATGCTTTGTTATTTACGAAATCACCCGAAATAAAAAATTTCTGGAATTTCTGTTCATGTTCTGTACAGATGAAAAGAACTACTTGTAGAAGTTATGAGTTTACATGAACTGACATGAATGTATGTTATTACGCGTTTCCATTGTTGCCCACTAGAACTGTATTGATCAGTTTCGCTTGACATATAGACTGTTTGAACAGATCCCTCAATATTACTTGAGTTTGAATGTTGATCTCCAGAAAATATAATTTTAACGATATGTATGCATATTACTGAATGGAAATTATGGTGTATACCGAAAATTGTAAGCTTACGTCTCCATAGACAATTTTCTTTTGGTATATTTCGTGGTACTTATCATTTTTCTGTAGTTACTGATAATAATGAGCACTGCTATCAAGTATATTTGATTTTTCCTTTACATTCAGATGGTGCATAATTCAAGCCGTTATAAACCATCGAGTATATGCATTCACGATATTTTCCGTCTGTATACAATCCTTTGTGCGTCTTCCAATTTTAGTTTATCATATTTAATTTCAGCCAATCCACATATTCGATTTATTGAATGTTCATCTTATATCAATTCATCTACATCATCATACCATTCCCTTCCATTCGTACGATCATCAAAAATTTGTAATTGTTGTACATCTTACCGTCGAACAGATTATCATCGTTGTAAAATTAGTCTATTAAGTCTTGTACAATTTGGTGAAGTGAATGGGTTAATAAGACGAATTCAATGTTATCCTATAAGTGATAAACTAGAATTGTCTGCTGAACAACAAATTAAATATCGAATGTCGTCGGTTATGCCATCAAAAGAAGTAACTTCTACAATGACAACAACAACATCAGCTGTCACCACTACCAGTAGTAGTACTAGTTACAATGCAAATATACAACAGCAATTAGTACAAAATCAAACTAAAAATTCTTCATCTTTATTACGGCATAATTCACGTAAATTTATTAAAAAATCACAAATAATTAATGAACAGACATGGTCTATTTCAAAATCTATGCTAATGGATGGTCAGCATAGTTTAGATTCAATTATGACATTTTTATTAACAAACAATGAAAGTACAACAAAATATTCTTCATCTGGTTATTATAAAATTCCAGATTATATTAGTGATTCATTATATTTATATCGTTTTGATGAAGGATGTCTTAGTCGACAAACATCGCATCATTGTGATCGTGATTTATCTTTGTTCAATAAAATTAAAACTTCAAATAGTTTTAGTCCAGATGAAATTAATTTTAATAGTAATAACAACACTAATAATGGTAATCAAACTGTTGAAGAAATTTTTATACATGATCGAATATGGTCTAAGTCAGAAAAGAGTATGACATTTGTAGAACCTTTAAATTTGGATAAGATAAATTTTACACTACCTGATCTTTATTGGATGTGGCGTTGAAATGACTATTGATTCTGTAAAATTTATCATATTAAATTCCCTACTTTTTCAATTCATTCCTCCAAGGCTCATTCATTTATTGCAAAAGTGTGATATTGTACAGTGTAAAGTTACCAAATCAAATGTTGACACGATTCATTTATTTTCCACTCTTATGTATTTTGTCGCTTAACACAACTCTCCTTCCTAATCGCATTGTTATCTGTTAATTTTTGTATCGATCTCTGTTTATTTATTCAGTAAGAAAAAAAACATTTATTTGATTCTCCTTGATCTTCAAATCACTTCATTAATTTGTGAGAAACATTTTTAAATGTGGAATATTTATTATAGTATCAGTTATAAAGCCTCTAAATCAATGTAGAATTGTCAAAAAGTACTGAATGAAAAGAAGTTTTTCCTTGCCCAATCTATTCACATCGATATTTGTCTAAATTTATTATCTTTTGATATGCAGTAAAAATTATGACAATAAACACCCAAACTATGTAGAGCTACACTTCTGGCGTGCTTTTATAGAAAGTCTCTTGTTAATCTTATGCTTGTGTATTGACATAAGATCAATCGTTCTTTCATCTTAATAACTTGCTCAAACCTCTAGGTCACTTATTTTTCAATGTTTGTACATAATTTAATAGATCTCATTTCCAACTTACTTTAACTAATTTAAGATGTATGTTAACCTCATACTTTTTGTAAACGATAAAAAAGCATACAGCTTATGGTGATGTTAATTATGTTACTGCAAGACTCAAGTAGAAACACCTTGAAATTAAGTTTATTTCATATCTTTTAAAGGAATGAGACACGTTGATATTAAAATCCCTGGATATATGGCAGAATATAAAATGATCGATAATAACGTTTGACAAACATGTTTGCAGTTTGAGTTACTGTCTAAGGATTATTTTGTTGTCATGTTGTATATTTTACCTGTGACTGTTTTTCTCGTAACGAAAATGTACAATTGAGTAAAACGACTATTACTACTGGTTGAATCATTTTATATCTGATAAAAATTTGCCCATTGAACTAACTATTTGTGTATTAAATAAACAAATCCATGTTTACCCATGCAAATCAGTAATAAATGTGAGTTAAGTATATAATTTCGTTCTAAGTTCATCCGTAGAACAACATAATGTTGTTATTTAAATTACATGGAAACCAAATTTCAATCAGGAAAGATCCTTTGTGTGTGTGTGTGTGTAAAATCAAATCGATTTTTCTATTAATCACAAAGGCATTAGTCGATTCTCTAGACTACAATCTAATTATACATATATTTCTCACTGTGCTAATGTCGGTACCATCGATAAATACATATTCTGTATTCAGTTGTCTTTTCGACTATTGCGGATGAAGAGAGGCTCAAAAACTTTCAGAGTATTAAAAATTCTGGACTATCAGTAGTTTAGTTTATTGATTCATTTATCTGTATGGCACGATAATCATCCCGTACCTAAGTTTTACACAGTTTTAGTTTGTTTTACAATTTTTTTTTGTACATCAAAGACTCCAAATGAATAGTATTCACTTCGACCTTCACATCTGTGATCAATATATTTATAAACTAATTACAGTGAAAATCAATGCAAAAGTGAAGACTGGTATTTTAAAGAAAAACAGTTATTCTCAGCATTATTTTTTGTTTTCATCCTATTCAGCTTATTATTATTGAGGAAATTACTATTTGGTCAATATTATATTAGACAGATACAGAATTAAAGCCGTTACTCAATGTGATGTTTGATTAAGCTATTCTGAAACTGCATTGTAACAGGAATAATGTCGTTATCATATCGCTAATTAATCTTTGAATGAATTCATGTGTATTGCTTGTTTGAATCTTCATATTGGTGTTTAGGACTACAATTGATCAATTTCCTTGGTATATATGCATCCTGTGCGAATTGCCTCGATATTGCCTTTAGGATGAAAGTATTATTAGCAGAACTGGATCAGTGAGAAGATTAAAAAACAATACAGATGAGTTAATCTTCACCCCGGTGCACAAACAAGTCGCGATCTGTACTCAGTAGCTAAGTACATAACGCGATCGCATTCAAATTGTAAGGTACTTGGTTCGCGTTCTGGAATGAACACCAACTCAGATACAGGTACACTCGTCTGACGAGTCCTAAATAGGACGAGACGCTCAATCTGGATTCCGCTGCTAGCCACTCTTTACCTCAGCTAATAATCTTTGGATTGCTTTAAAAGTTACTGATGTGACGATTATGCCAGGATAGTGATCTCTTTCTACCAGTACATTCAAATGTGTAGAGTTATACAATAAATTTATTCCGAAAGCTGTGTATGTTCATCAGAAAATTATTATGATGTGTTGTAATCAAAGTATTGACTACATGGTTTTAAATACAAATCATCATAGGATAGATAAATTTGGCGTGGGAAATATTTGATAATGAGAGTAAACAGAGAAATTGATGGTTGTAGCGAATCGAAATGTTAGGCATTGACTACCTGACTGAGATCTGCGAAATTATCATAACCAATTATTGGTGATGGATAGTAAGACTCAGAATCAGTAGCGATCGTGCAAATAGGTTCATTCTTTGTGTTCCGTTCAATATTGAGTTTAGAAATTATTTTATAATTAATTTGTAAATTCTTCTCTCCAGTCTTTACCTATGCTTAATGTTTTATACAATCACTGATACTGTCACTGTTTCTTCAACTCTGACACCTATCTTCAAAATTTCATATCATGCTGATATGGTGGAGAAACTGAAACTGATGCCAATTTCTTTGTAACTTATGATTTAATGGCTACAATAATATTTCAACTGCGCCTGCAAACCCTTCAGCGTTGCTGCCGGTCCCAAGCACGGATAAAGAAGGAGGGTTGTGTCGCGACCCATCAAGCAAAAACTAACGCCAAAAACACAACAAGAAAAAATAATTCAAACCATATAAACTCTGCTCTGGAAGTTAGGAGGTCTTCATTTGACGTCTCATGATGAAAGCTGAGTTCCTTCGGAAGTCAGGAGGTCGAAACCCCTTCTGACAACCAGAACTCTTCCACGGTGTAGGCAGCCAGAAAGTAACATCCGCCCTCATACCCGTAAAAGCGCACGAGACCAAATCGGTCAGAATCAAAGCATACAATAATATTCCGGTCATCGATTTGTGTTACTGGTCCTGGAATACAGTCAACTGGTATTGTTTAGTTTTTGGTAATAAGTCCGAATTTCACTGAAGCTTCAATCATAAATTTTATCTGTTTTTGTGAAGATCTACGGTTGTCGGTCTTACTGATCTCATTTAAAATCAAATGATTATCTCTATATTGATAATAAAATAAAAATACGCGCCTGTAACGTTCAATAGGAGGTAAATATATAAAAGTTGTATAGCTTTAAGTTGATTTCAAAGCGTGTTCTCATAAGTATGTATTTCGGTGCGAGAAACCCCTGAATTTCCGGTGATAAGAGATCAACAATAGAATTCAGCCATGTCTGTAATGAAAGTTAGCATTCACGGGAATGTGTAACGGACTCATACTTTCGGAAATCAGCTGAAGTTGTCGACAACGCCTGTTAGATATGTGACCACCGCACACCTTAAAGTTGCTTTGCTAAAAAACAGCTGTTCAAACCTCTGCACTCTTCAACTAGTGTCAGTCTAAAGTTAGTTGGTGATGTAAAATATTTTCAGCCATTTCGTTTTCGCTTATTTTAAATAAACTAAACGGGTAATCTCAGGTAAATGCAGAAAACATTTCCATCTAAGTTGTGATCCAATCACTAGACTAAATGAGCTGATAATTCGACCCACACAGTTCAATGCTAAGATTCCTCACTGCAACACTAACTTGTGTTTAAATAACATAAAAAGGTTATAGATGTATCTTGCTCTAATCAACTAACATAAGACTAATTTCAATTCGACTAGTTGTAAGATTTCTAGCAAACTAGACACTGTTAGTTCGATAACTATTGAAAAACAAAAGATTGATAATTAGCTTTATATTATTGACATAGTGTTTATCAATAAAAAATCATTCTTTGAATATATTTGAACAATTGCAGGCTTTAGTATCATTGCTTGAATAGATTTGCTTCAAATATGGATACGATAGATTTATGCATTGATCTTTGGATTGGTTGTTCTAGATGGTGTTTGCTTATATATATTCATATAAATCAATTGGTGAAAATGGAACTTGTGTGTGAATACCATGAGATTGTTTGAAATTGATCGTTGAATTGTAAATTTATCTACAAATGAACAGATTAACTAAATCCAAAAAAAAATTTTTAGTTTATTCATAGTATAAAATGTGTTACACGATAACTAGAAGATGTGGTCAAATACTTAACTTACGGTTTATATTACTTATTTTCTTTTCAAGTTGTTTCAGAGTAAACAGCCTAAGTTGTGCTCAGTTCTTCGAGATTTAATCAAATGGAATACACAAGTGTAATCATTTATCGAAGACATGAACACAGCTGAAGTAGAGTTTAACTCTTCAACATTTAAAAACTACAACACAAGACGAAAAAGACAACAACATTAGAATGAAGTTGTCTTAACTGGTACAAATACAAACAGTGAAAGTTAGTTGATTCTATGCAATTTATATATACACATCTATCACTGTATTGATTGGTTAATGAATTTCATTGTTAATTACATCATAAAACTCTCAGTCATTTGACCCCAAAGTGTAATGAAACAGAAAAAACAAACATAATGACGAACTCAAATTACAATTACATAATTTCTATGGTGAAAAAAAATAATTCTATAACATTCTATACTAATTGACTACATTTTCGTATATATCTATTCTCTATGTCTATATGCGTGCTTGTCATCATTATTCACACAGAGTATAGACAAAAAAATATAACTAATGCTCTCTTAATCATTACAGTGCATGATTTTTAATAACATTTTAATTATTCTAATCATCGTATTGATGGTGATTTAATCAAAACACACATGGTGCATGATCGATTGAATTCGGTGCAGTAATTATTATTATTATTATTATTATTATTATTATTATTTTGTTATTGCTATTGTTTAAATTTGCAAATATGTCATAAGCCAAATGTCAAAGAGCACAAGTAGTAATGGTACGAGGGGGGGGGTGGCTTGTGATAAGAGTTTACTTCAATGCGAATATATAGATATGTAATGAGTTATTCGTTGTAAAGACCTATGGTCTGAAAGCAGTTCACGTAACTAAAATCATACAATTTATTTGAAATGTGTTTAAAAAACAAACAAACAACATAAACTGTATGTCTATAAACAACATAAACTGTATGTCTATAAACAACATAACATAGTAGTAGGTCAATTTGATTGTATGACTGTGTAATTCAGCAGTTTGTCATGTTATTGATGATGATGATAAACGTTTCATTTTACTGAATGTGATAATAATTGTGTGCTATCTACTTGTAATCAAATTGCTTTGAATCATGGTTTTGGTTTATAAGCTGAAGTGAAAGAAAACTTGAGTAATAATAATAATAATAATAATAATAATAATAATAGAGATGATTACTATAATCACTACTTTTCAGAATGAATTCGAAACTGTAAGGATTGATGATTTAAGTTAGGATCAGGTAGTTCGCAATTCGGAAAGTCTATCAATCCTATAGGAAACATTCACTTCATACTCTATATGTCTGAACGTTACTAGAATCCTTTTGAATGGTATTAATAAAATGTATCATGGTATGTTGTAAATTCTGTGAGGACAACTTAAACATTAGTTTTGAATACGTTGTTTGTTCAAAATAAGAATAATGAAGAATTGTGCAGAATCTATATAAGCTTAAAGCTCCGGTTTATAGCAACATCATTGATAGTTTTATATTTTTGAAAGTATCCTATTTATATGCTACCTAATAAATCCTGGCTCATATATCCGTTTAAGTGACTACAATTCATAATATATATCTTGACTAAAGCCTCTAGTTAGATGATTTTTTAATCAGACCTTTGGTTTTGACTTTGATCAGATGTAATTTATTTTGCTCTGACCGTAGCTGTTACCTCGATGTGGTGGTTGGGCTTGCCTATCGTGATTACTCAACTGAGCTATGTTAACTGGAACATAAGTTCCTGTAGGTCCTATCATGCCAGGCATGTCGACTGGAGAACGTTAAGACTGAAAGCAACAACACTAGAGGCAATATCGAGATTTTAGTTTTTGTGACAAATGCTTATTTGAACCTTTTGTACATTAAATTACTGTTCCAAGTGGTAGAAAGATGATATTAACATAGACGATTTCTTAGGGAATACAAATTGGAGCCTAGTGGTTATGTGGAAGTTCTTATTTTCAGAATCTCTTAACACATATTAGACGACTTTTAACACACGTTGTGTTTGAATTATGTTACGTTCAGTTGCAAAATTTCTCACAAATATGCTAAATAAAACAACTTAGTTTATTGTTCTAATCCTCGGAATCACGACGAATTTAACAGACAGCATGAAGCATTAGATGAACAAGATTATCTTCTTATTACTAAATACATGGATTACTGTTCTAGTAACTGGCAATTCACTCGAAAATTCTGATTTTATTGCTTCAGCTTGCTATCTTAAGAAAAAAGCTAATAGATTTGTTTACGTGTATCTGTGCTTGTAATGTTTCAGTAAAGGTTCAGTGTAACATTTTTCTAGACAGACTTTGAAATCTAGATTATATTTACGCGAATCTGAGTCTGATCTTCGCTGAATTCACGTCTCTGGAAAATCTTGCATTTAGCGAACAAGTAAAACTGTAAATAAAATGACTAAAACTGGGTTAGTGTTGTATTTTTAGGATACATAAAAGTTGGTCTTATAAGGTAACCTGATACACAAGTGACTAGATCCTAGAATGAGGTTCTTTAAGTATATAAAAGGATCTTAATACACACACTAAATATAAAACTGGAGGTGACTTGAGATAAAAAGTATCATAAGTACCTAATCCCTTTAACAATACTGGTCTATTTTTCCGTATGAGAAGAAATAGTTAGCATCTAACAACTAGTTTAGTTTACATAGTTTTTAACGCAATAAGTAAATTCATTTCAAAGTTAGTATAAATTATAGCCATATAATTGACTTGACTGTTGTCCTGTAAACTAATCACTTGTCTTCTTTGAGATATGTATTTTCTGTCTGCATACAACTGCTACAGTATATGATAACAAATGAGTGAATATTTTTAGTAGAATCTACATCAGTTGAAAACGAACTCCTAGGTTGACGAAACCGTATTCGAACTACATGGCGTACTGCTACAGCTGTCCATGGATGGAAAAGTTTTTATTTGGCCACGAAATGTAAGACAATACGTAGTTATTACAGATAATCCATCAACTAGAATGCCTTTTTCAAAATATCCAGCTCTTCCAGATGACAAAGTTCTATGAATGTAAGATAGCCTTAGTATGAGCGAATCACGTTGAGTTATCTAAATATCGAATGCCCATCGTCACCTCGGTCGTTCAAGGTCATGCTAACGAAAGAGAAATAGTTTTAACCAGAGGGTAACTTTTAGTGTACGCCCTATTCGTCACAATTAAAACTAATTATCCTACTCACATTTACAAGTTCACATTTGTTGCTAAAATTCATATTTAGTTGTTAATGTTACAATCAATCATGAAATTTATCTGAATGAGATTATTTGAAAAGTATTCACTGTAGTGAATAGCATTCAGATACTGTGTGGTTTGAAAAAAGTGGTCGATTTAGACCAAATTTCATATTTGATCATGTTAAGTTATGTCGAATTACAATCCACTTTATTTCAAAATCATCTTTATTGTGACAATAGACAGAGTTCAAACTTTTTCATTATAATACTGAATTCTTGTTTTAAGTGTTGTCACGTTTTGATTGAAAATCTGGTCATGATTTGAAGTCAAACTATCAACTATTAGTTGAATCACGTTTTTTCTACACAAGACACATCCACAACTTTTGCTGCTTATGTATTGATTGAAAAATAAGAATAAATTAAATGTTTATCTAGCGCATTCAAAAGCTTAAGCTAAAGCATAAATTTATTGTTTAAATTGGCAATTTTTTATTAAATATATGAAAGAAAGACAATTCGAAAAACTTATTAATCCATTGCAAAAAATGTAGTTTACAATAAATACCAAAGTATAAAACGTCAGTTAGTATGTACCATAGCGCCCTAAGCAACAATGCAAGCATGTTTGGGATGCGGTTTTTCCCCTCGAAATACAAAATGTTGCTTCAGAATTGGCTTGCAACTTCACCGGAATTAGTGATAGGGAGTGAAGTGGTCGAACGTGTAGACCGCTTCACGTATCTGAGGTGTCTCATCAGTGCTGATGTCCTGGTGACTGACGAAATCTCAGCACGGATACAGAAAGCTCGATTGGCTTTTGCCAAGTTGCGTCGCTTATGGCGCAGGCGAGATATCCGCTTGCTAACCGAAGGACTAGTGTACTAGGCAGCAGTTCCCTCCGTCCTACTATACGGATGCGAAACATGGAGCCTAAGAGTAGAGGACTTTCGTTGGTTACTAGTCTTCGATCATCGATGTCTCGGAAGCATTGCTCGTGTATCGTGGGACAACCGAGTAAGCAATGCTGTCGTTAGGAAACGAGTTCTAGGTCAGCATGGCAAATCAATAGGTGAAGTAGTCGAACTTCATCAGTTGAGGTGGTTACGACATGTGTTGCGTATGCCGAACCACCGACTGCTGCGACTAGCTATGTTTTGTGGTGTAGGAGTAGGTTGGAAGAAAGTTAGGTTCGGCAAAACTAAAATATGGCACAAATCCATGAAGTCACTGACACGTGGACTGAGTCATGTTGGTAGAAGTAAACTACGTGATTGTGGTCCGCGAGACGAAAGTCACCAATGGTTAGAGACCTTGAACGACATGGCTCAATACCGTTTACAATGGCGCAGTTGCATTCACTCTTTGTGTTCTCTCAAACTCTAACCTTCTGAATTCCTCATAATCTCTATCTTTCTCCTTCTAAATAGGTGGACTTTAGTTTACAGAAAACCTATTAATTGGAATTCTACACTCCTTAGTGATGTGTACCTGTAATCACCAGGCAATCGATGACTCTCCTACGCTGTCACCGATGTATTTGAGATGGAACGAACTTCCTGTAAGAGAGATGTATTTACAGCGGTTATTCACTTAATAATGATCAGCGTTATGTCATAATCGAATATATTCCACTTATTATCTTCAAACATCCATGTTCAGAGACCTCTTTATATCAATTTGCAATTTCATTCCGAACTATAAAAACGGGATTACAGTTGTAACTTCGTAAATTAAGCATTCTTTTTTTCGAAGTTAACATTAAGAGCGTAAATTCAATATAACCAAACATTTTATTTCCTATAACAATAAATAAATCTTAGGAAAACCTTACTGAACAAAGTAATAGATTACTGATAGGTAATGTTATTTTCTTCACTTTTCTAATAGTAACAAAAGTTTACCAGTCATATTTACATTATGATCTTTAAACTCAATAAATTATTATCGTACAGTGCTATATTTGATATCGTAACTAATTGTTTGATTTAGTTTACTTACGTTTAAAAACTGTGGTGGGTTTTGAAGCAAACTTTTTGAAATATCTAGTAATGCTTCTTAAATCAAAATAGGATGAGAGAGGATTCATAATTTGGTTGAAGACCGAGTAAATGTGCGATAATATCTAGGACTTACTTCTATTTTAGGCGTTTGGGTTTTTACAGATTTATCTTTTATGATACTGCGCCACACTATTATAGATATATTTCTCACAGTACATTTCTTTTGCATGTACAACTGTCTATCATCAATAGTCCAAAACGACGTTGCTATCATGATAATGTTTACGATTAATACTTTATCGAATATCACTGATCATTCATGCTTTGTCTACGTATTAGCTCTAACACAAATGTAAAGCTTGACTTCATTATTACTATTATTATTATGATTATTCTTTCTCATGGGTTGTATCAAATAACATGAAAACTTCACTAATACATTGAACTGTATATCTCTTATCCAAGCAGTTGAATCCAATTAGGACAGTTGATTTTTCTCATGCCTACTTTTACATTAGAATGTTTGTAAACTAGGATATCTGAATTTAAAAGTTGCCTGTCTAAGTATTCGTTCTACAGAGTTCTTCTGTCAATTTTCAAAAATGATACTTATTTCGATTTGTTCGGTTACTTCAATCTGTTTTATTGATAGCTTAAAACTCACTTTGTTCATTTTGTTGTATTTGTATTCATTACAAACTGAACGTAGATTACTAATAAAACATAAATATGTCTTTTATCAGAATTATTCACCGTCATTGAAGTTTAGATTTAGCTGATTTCAAGCAAATACCATTACAGAAACAGTATTTCATTTAAATCTTTATCAAAATAAAAAAGGCTACCTTCGTTTCGTTCAAATCCGTGTCAAGAAAAGTTGAATTTCAAGTATATCAAATCATTTTTAATTTATAAATAAACATTTATATAACAGTCTAATAATCATTTTCCAGGAAGAAAGAAAAAAAGTATTTCGAAATTAATTATTGAATTAAAAGAGAATAAAAACAAAATGAACTAATTTACACATTGATCAATAATGTTGCAACTGAAAGAAAATAAATTCGTCGCAATTATCTTGGTGCTGAACATCGATGAGCGAGTTTTATTACTTTACTATTATTTACTTTTATTTGATCTTTTGCATCATTCTTGTCGGTCAAACTCGATGATATGAAATAATCGCCGTATTCCGAGTGAATTTCATCAGTTTTTGTTTCTGTTAAATTTGGAGATGGCGACTCGCTGTCTTCTCCTGGTCTTTGAGAACGTTTCCATTTCATACGTCTATTTTGAAACCATATTTTAACCTAAAAATGCCATTTAAAGGAAACAAAAATTGTATACACACTATTCAATTTATTTTCGACATTTAGTTACTTATTTCAACAATTTATGTTATTTTAATTAACATACTCAATTAAAATGACTTTTTTTTATGTAGTAAAAAACGACATGAACAATGTTTGGAAACTAGATAGTTTTTAGCAAATTTTTCATGATCATTGGATATTTTGCGACAGTCTACAAGCAACACTGCACATATAGAATCGAATACAAAACTTCAAGTTCACTGTGATCTTCAGTTTCAGTTTTATGAAACCTGTGACATAGTTCAATCCTCATCTACTTCATTCCATATTCTTCTATTCTTTGTTTTACTTATATGATGGCTTCAGCAATCACTGTTTCAGAGAATCTATTTTTCGTCTAGTTATGATGAATTGGTTTGATTGTGTAGAACTTATTGAACAAATTGAATCAACCTTTAATCATAAATTCTTATCCGTTGTGAAGTCTCAAAGACAAGAATGCAACAATCGCTCAATTTTTTTCTTTTTCGACTGACTGTCGAAAATTATTTTCAAGTTGTACAATCTTTTTCACAAAATCACCTCTCATTGTTTATTGTGACTGATTTTATTCCGTTGAATTATTTATAATTTTTTTTAAAAAATATTTAAAACTAAACGTATTACAATTTTTCTTCAAAAGAAACCAAAAATCCATCATATTTGAGTTATATACTGGGGTAATTGAGTTAAATATTATAAAATATTGTTGAATAGTTAGTTATAAAAGTTTCTCACTTTTTTTCCAAAGAACTATACAGTTTTCAACTAAATTGTAAATTCTTTCAATGGTCATCTTATTTATATATAATATTTAAGAGTTTACACTAAATTATATGCTTACTTTAGCCTATTTAATTATCATCCATTCTGATCAATAATTTATTGAATTTTCTCTTCGCATAATTGTCAGTAAGAAAAAATTATTATTATTATTATTGTGAAAAAGTATTAATTAGACCATACCTAAACGCCTTATCAGTAAAGATTAGATATAACCTTGTTTGATTCTTTCTATGTGAAAGTAGCAACAAATACAGTCCACTAACTAAAAACAAAACAACTATAAACGAGCAATTTTTCTTCTTGTGTTCTATGTTCAATATAAATTGATCCATTCATTTTCAACAGTTTATGAAAGCACATATTTTAAAAGACTGAATAGAATAAGAAAAATTTAGAACGGAGGTGAACAGTGAATATTAGAAATAAATTATGAAGTAAATGGAAAATAAACTCATTAAAATGTTTAAATCAAAGCAATGCTTATTTCACCAAAATGAATTAATCATTGAACATCATTTACAAGATAAAAAAAATAAAGGCCTATCAACGACAGTGAAGTACCATTTCATTTGCGTCGTTGAAGTTTTCGTTAAACACTTTTTTTTAAAAAAAAACAACTTTTCATACAAATTAGAACTTGTTCAACCTCTTGTTCTGCAGTCGTCTTCATTATGTTACAATCAATAAGACAAAAATAAATCCTGGCCGTTATTATTACTACTTAGATATAATATGAACTAGTGATTTAAGTGTTTCTTCCTTGGACATTACACTTTGTAGTTACATTGTCAGTGATTTCCTTATGAAAATAAAGACTAAGCTTATTGGTTGAAAACAACTGACCAAAAATCCACTTACTTGAGTTTCTGTCAAGCCAAGCGAAGTAGCCACTTCGAATCGTTTCGGTCTTGACAAATATTTATTCGATAGAAATTGTTGTTCTAATTCCAATAATTGTTGACTAGTAAATGCGGTTCTAGGACGACGTGTTTTACCAATTAGAAAATTTGATGACAGTCCAAGTGAAACAGCTGATCAAATGAGTATAAAAAAAAATTAAAAAATAGAATAGAAGTGAAAGCGATCGCTATTTATTGTGTGAATTGTATTTAAAACACAAATTCTATACGTTGAATTTTAGAAGGAATACTGATTAGTTTAAATGAATGTAGTTTTCACAATGTTACTTGATAATCTAAATACATTCGAAAGACTAGAATAGTTTGTAGTTGTTTTGTTTTGGTTTAAGGTTCTGGATTAGTACGCATTATCAACATGAAACAAAATACTAATGAAGTTTTTCTTATTCATGACGTCGTTTTCTAATGTATACTTATCTCCGGATTTATCTAAAATTCTTCAATGATTTATATCGAAGTAGATCTTTGGAAACTTAACTAGGAGAGTGTAATCGATGTGTATGTGAAAATAGATTGTCAGTGATAATAATCACTATCAGTCATCCAATATGGTTAAATAAGAATTTATCTAGAGGGTATGTCATATCTTCATTGGTTGATGTCAACAATTAACTGAAGTTTAACCTATTAATCGTCAAATGCAAGCTCAACTACCTCAAGATTTTGAGTTTGATTCCTGTTAAGTTTATAGGTGCGCGCACTCCTGAAGAGTCTCGAATCAGAATGAAACAGTCATTGATTGCCTACTGGTTTTGCAATGATTTTTTCGGCTGAAGTTAGTCCATGGTGAAATTTATTTCAAAAGAGACAACATAATTAGTGCGGAATTCACTGAAGTATTTTCATTACTCAATATCATAAATGAATAGGTGAATACTTTCAATAACTATTATTTATTCAAAAAAGTTCGATGATTATGTAGTATGGAAAGTTTCTTTTTCAATCTGTTAAGGAACCAGTGATTGAAAATAAATACCAGTATATCGTAAGCAGTCCAAATTTAATCTGACTCGTACACATTAAGAAATTTTACCTAATGACACAATAATAAATTTCCAAGATTCCCTAGACCGACATTCTTGAAAATAATATTAGTTAACCTTTTTCATTTCATTTTAGTCTTTATAGCTTCTTAGTTCGATCTATAATTTACATTAACATGAAAACTAACAGAAACTCGACATTCTTCACAACCCTATGATCAAAATCATCACGCACTCACTAGTGACTAGCTTCGTGATGAAATTCTCGGAGTTCTAGTAAGAATCCTTGACTAGTGGAGTTCACCAGTGTCGAGTGTGAGTCAGTTAACCACCGAAGACAAGAAGTAATGGTGGCGCAGTATCGTAAATTTAGATATTAAAACGCTTGCGGGGTCGTGGGTGTGTACTGCTGACGAATCTCATGCTAAGCTGAAACTGCTGTCCAGTGCTTCCAGGTTTCTAATGGTAGTCTAACATTGATCGATTACTGGTTTCAATCGAATAAGAAAATGTTGAAACATCAGGAGTCTGTATAAATATACAAGAAATATTTTCATGTGTGTTACCTAAGGATGTGCTCACGTGGGAGTATAATCTTCCTATACGTACTTCTATTTACCTTTCAAATAACCGTGACCACCTGAATGATTTACATTCCAAACATTCATTAAGCGTTTCAACCTTGACAATACTTTAACACGACTTTTTGAACTACTTACAAGTAACGTAAAGTGTTTTTATAAACTTTTGAGTCATGTAACTGAAAATGTAAAATGAATTCAGAGTTTTTCTGACTTGACTGAACTAGATAGTAGCGTAAAACCACAAGTTTTCATACTTTACCATTTTAATAGTATTGAACATAAAATGGGTCAAAGGAATAAAATATTTCAATTACTATAAATTTGGTCGACATAATGTTTATAAGTTTAACGAATTACTACATTTGTGACCATATGAATGCAATATCCTAGTCTCAAATTAAATAAACACAACATTATTCTTCTTAGTTATTTTCACAAGTATATTAGTTTACATTAACTATATTCTCTAATAGATGTAAAAGTCCAAACTCATGATCGAATTTTAGTTGGCAAATTTAGAAAGCCTTAGACTACAATGTGTAGGAATACAGACTGGTCAGTTTCGTTTGTTAGTATCAACAATGGGAAAGTGTAAACCCTTTTAGGGTTGCCCAGGGTAGAAGCTATATAGATTCAGTAGCTCAATGAAAGACATGTTGGATTTTAAATGAATAAAAAATTGCATTTGAGTTCCAATGTGAACATCAACACTGCAATATAAGTACACCCAGTTGACGACTTCACAGATGAAATGAAGCTCACTCTTTCTGATTTCCATTTTTAGTTACCACTCAACTGTTTATTAACTTATTTGATAGTCATTTTACAAGTGGAAGTTTAATAAGTGTACTGCTACTGTTCCTTACTTTTTTTTCAGTTTTATATTATTAAATGTTGCAAAAAACAGATAAGAAAAACGGAATCATTTTCTGCCTCATTCGAAACTTAATTTCGATAGGTACAAAGAACCCAAAATAAAAATAAAAACAGAAGACGATTGATTATGACTGAAATATACCCAACGGCTGATTTCGATACATGAAGACAATAATCTTAATTTTCACAATATTATATCAATTAACTGATTTTCCCTTTTGAAAGGTACAGCATAAACATGCTCTATATTCCTTACGCTTGAATGGAAGAACTTTTTCCAATCAAAATACGAATGGAAAAAGGCACAAGTACGCAAACACACCAACAAAGGAGTAGAAAATACAATAAGAACTAGTCATATTTACAGTGGAGGGATGAGAAAATATTACAGGGAAAGACGCATAGAATTTTAGTCCCCTATCATACTTGGTGCGAATAGTAACAGTAACATAGCAAACATAATGAAAATCATCAACTCTCTATCCTGATCTGTTTGTTGTGCATTCATCAGTGGGTTTGTTTGTTTGTGTTTTTGTCATTTTGAAGCTGGAGACGAAAATGATGCAAAAAATATATCAACTAGGAACTGAAATCATATACGATGTCTACAATTAAATGTCTATTTAAAAAATGTTTCTTAGATTTATTTATAATAGCCTATTTTATTATTCCTATTTTCAATATATATATATATATATATATATATATATATATATATATCGGATATTTTTCCCAATACAAAGACAAAGAATTAAACATAATTTTCAAATTGATATAACAACACTGATTAGTGCGAATCAAAGTTGTTAAATGTATCAATTACATTGAGAAAATCATGAATAAAACATGAAAATTGGTTTATAAATAGGGCAAAAAGAACAACGACATCAGTACAAAATAGCTTGTTTAAATTTTGAAAAAATTAATTCATGATTCATGTACGTTAAATAATATTTCGAAACAAAAGATTTTAAACTATTTCACTTTACAAGTTTTTGTTTTTAAGATTACACCAAACGGTCATTGAGTAGAAAACACTATATTATATTGTTTAGTCTCTGGTGTTGATTCAATTCTATCAGTCTGGATGTAGATTTTTTTTTGACAGTTGACTCACTGTAGCAATAAAAACACTCCCCATAGGGCGTTAACCAGCTTCATCGAAAGTCGCCGATCGTTCTTCTGCATGAATGACATCTATACAATATAGATCAGAGAAGTAATCAATGTAATTTGATCATGCCAAGTTTGCTGATAATGATATTCATAAACCGAACGATTCTAATTCATCCCTGTTTATTGTACAGAGCAAAAAAGACTATTTTGTACCAAATAAGTCTGGGAAATTATCTGGTCACGCTTCTTTGTTCGCTTTCGAAGAAATCCAACTACTTCCCGAAAAGTCATCATATGTTTCTTGTACATAATATAAGAGTGTGACAACTTATTAGAAAATTTAACTCATTTTGAGGAAACTCTGAGGTGGAATAATCAATTAATATAAAGAATATCTAACACTTGCAGAGCATTCTCAATTCTTAAATCTTGTACTGTTCAGGTAGACATGTTTTCTTGTCAATTGATTTTGTGAAGCATATGAAAAGTACCGAAAAGCTATACTAGATATATCAGTAATCATTTCACTCAGTTACTTTGAGTTCTGTTCACGTGAATTCACAATCACGATTATAATTACTAACATAAAGTGTTAATTATTCTTCAAAGTTATATCTTCCAATATTCGTAACAGTGATAATGTTTTCAGAAATATCACTGTCAAATACACGTGGGAAATAATTTAATATTCAATAAAAGTTACACTGAAATACTTTTCTTTTTTTTGTGAAGCATATGAGTTTAAAACATCATCTCTATAATCTTATTTCAAAAATATACAAGTTTAGCAACAAATTTAGAATTTTCGTATTTTGTTTTAATTCTATGATTTACTCTTTTCTTATGTTTTGTAAATTACACCAGAAAAGCTATAAATAATAAAACAAATTTTTCAAAACAAATTTCTCGGCGTAATGTGTTCCTTGACCTTCCTCTCTTCCCTTTACTTTGAAGGGTTCCATGTGAGGACTTGTCTTGTGACACAGTTGGGTGCTTTCCGCAGTGTTTGTCCTATCCACTTCCACCGCTTATTCCTGATTTCCTCCTCCACTCGAATCTGGTTTGTTCTCTCCCACAGTACGTTGTTGCTGATGGTTTCTGGCCAACAGATTCGAAGTATTTGGCGTCGAAAACTGTTAATGAATACTTGTATCTTCTGGTCGATGGCTTTCATAGTTCTCCAAGTCTCCGCACCATACAGTAGAACTGTCTTGACATTTGTATTGAAAATTCTGATTTTGGTGTTTGTTGACAGTTGTTTTGAGTTCCAGATGTTGTTCAATTTTAGGAGTGATTTCCTTGCTTTGCTGGTCCGTACCTTTATATTTGCATAGGCTCCACCTTGCTTGTCGATGATTTTGCTCAGATATGTAAAGGTTTTAACGTCTAGCAAGGCATCTCCGTCAAAAGTGATTTGGTCGGTGCATGTTGTGTTTTATCGGGGAATCTTGCTTTTCCATTTATGTATGTCTAGACCTGCTGCTGCTGTGGAGGCTGCTGCTACATTTGTCGTCTTCTCTTGCATTTGTTGTTGTGTGTGAGATAGAGGAGC